ACACACACACACACACACACACACACACACACACACACACACACACACACACACACACACACACACACATACTTGGTTCCATGGACATGGTGTTGGTGTGGTTTCCTGCTTATGTCGTGACATGAGACACCTCCCTGCTGGTAAAAAGGCCTCTTTGTGCGACCGTCTTTTCCACCACTTACCAATCATTTCCCCCATTTAACCCTCAGCCAAAGGTTTGGGTGAGCCTTGAAACTATTTTCATCTTTAAGTTAGAGAAAAGTAAAGAAAATAATACATTTCACCTTTTTGTATTTTATTTTGTAACAGCGTTACTTTTAATTTTTTCCATATATGGCCTAATTTTCTTCATTTTTTAACCATCAAATGAGGCAAATTCCCATGACAAAATTAACATTGCCACAAAATGACAAATCTTTCAAAAGAGGCCAGATGTTCCACAAGGAGTCCTGCCTTGAGGGTCCCACAGATCATTTGATGAGGTTTCAGGGGTTAGAGCAGTAGCGTTGGTGTCAACCACTTGGGTTTCTATTGAAGTTTTATTTTCCTGTTTTCACATACAGAAGTGAAACACATGCAGCCTTTGTTTTTCCTCATAGGTAGTGTCCATTTTACTACTAAGAGGCGAGGCTTTAAACAGGATGCTAAATAACAACGACATGCCTCTCCGGAGGCTGTTCTTCATCATCGTTGTTACATTTTTCAATTTGAAGATTAATTTCCAAAGGGAGCTCCTCATTCAGCCGTGTGGCATTATTAATGCACAGCAGTTGCAGAGGCCTGTAATAACCTGATAGTCTTGTTAAGGTCAAATATTTTTTGGATGAATGCATATCGCCCGTCACCTTTTACGCCAGAGATTTGAAACCAGGAACCACTTTGGTCAAACCTCATTAGTGACAATATGCACGGAAGTCAAGTTGCTGTCAAATTGAACTGAGTCTGTCGTAGGGATTACTCTCAGCTACAAGCACATTGAATTTAGCTCATTTTCTGTTAAATTGACTGAGTTAAAACCATTTCTGTGTTGGCTAATGTTTTTTAGTTGAAGTTCAGTTCTCTGGGATAAACTCAGAGAAAAGCTGATTCTCCTACTGGGAACCACTGGTTTAGGTATCTGGTAAGAATGCTACCTGTACGCCTCTTTCTCATTCACATTTGCCATTAATTTGATTATTGAACATCTTTCTTCTGTTCATATTTCTGCTATTTGTATTTTTTTTGCATTATACTTTTTAAACTATTGGTTTTTTCTTCAAATGTGCTTTTAGATTCCTAATGATGATTAGTGACCAGCACTTGGGGAATATTTTCAAACAGTTGTAACTTTTGTTTTATTGGAAGTTTCCTTTAATCGAACTGATTTTAAATCATGGAGTTAGTTGATAATTGAGCTCACTGTTTTCATTAGGCTTGCACTTTCCCTGCACTAATTTTTAAAGTACCGTTTTTATTACCCTGACTTTTAATAAATTTACTTCCACCCCGCTCGTAAAACAAGCCCAATTAGCACCATTTAAAAGCATCCTGTGTTCATTTGCATCAAACGAATCATTTTAGGACATGTTTTACATTGGCTTTCATTCAAAAGAGCAAAAAAAGATTTTTCTAATTTTAATAACATCCACTTCCACTGCCTACCTTTTATATGAAACTAACCTTTAAGCATCCTTATTGTGTCTAAATGGAGTCTGTCCAACAAAAGATTACAAAACTCAAAACACTTGAACTTTTTTTACACAAACTCTTGAGTAGTTTTAATTAGAGTCTTGCCATTGAATCACATTTTTTTTAGTTCAGCCCAATATTCCCTAATGCTTTTGAATATACATTCACTTTAGAAGTGATGACCTCTGACTGTTTTTTATCACCCAAAGCAGCCCAAAGCACTTTGGCTTTCTTTTTTAAACCTCTTTGACATCATCGTAGCCCTGATGGCAGCGAGCAACACTGTGTCTACAATTCTAATGAAAATTGCATTAGCAGATTTTCTAAGGGCCATAATTAAAGTTCTTAATTTGGAATGTCACTGTGTGGGATGAATAGAAAAGACTCTATCCAGACAGTGGTAGATTGAGCTGGCGGAGGCTCAATGGGTTTATAATGGCAGGCTATTTTTCCACAGACCAGACAGCTGATGTCTGCGCAATCTCTTTGTCAAACTGGGCTCTCATGACAGTGCACAAGCTACGCAGGTTGTCTCAACCATTTCAGCCTGGATACATCAGTGAAGCTCAAACTTCTCACACTGAGCACCTTTGAGCTACACCATCATGACATTAAAACCAGTACTCAGCTTGTACTGTTGATAATACTATAGTTTTACAAAGTAAAATAAGCAAGAGGCTAAAAGCTCAAGCAGACAATGGGCAGTTAAAAGTGGCAAAAAGCTAACTAACAGTAGCAAAGCCTAACTAAGAAGTAAAAACAGCAATTAGCTAAAAGTGGCAGAACAAAAGCTAAAAAAATAAAAGTAGCATAAGGATAAAAAATAGAGCAGGTTTGCTGAAGCTTTATAACAATGTTAAGAGTTTTAGAGATCTCGATGTATTTCTATGTGGTTAATACTTCTAAATAAAGATAAATATTTAAAAGATCTAAACATCATAGCACAAAGCTCCTAAATGGCTAAAATAGCACAAAGTATGCACAAAAAAGCACACATACAGTATACAGGAAAACAATAGTGTGATTGGTGTAAAGTTACACAATAAGATAACTTGAATCAGGAATCATGTCTCAGTTTTAAAGAAATAAATGGACAATTTGCAAAACTTAATTTGCTTTTTCAGTGCTGCCACAAAAACGAAAAAAAAAAAAAAAGACAAAACACACAAATAGGACTTTTTCAGATAATTGTCTTATTAGTGAGTTAGCCATTAGAAGATTAAGGGGAAAAATATGTATTTTTTATTATATTGATTTATAAACTGATACAAAACATTTGTAAACTGCTTAATAACAAGTTAGAAATAACAACTACAATTTAACATTAATGTTCCACAGACACAAAAACACAGAAGCAGCAGGTTTATGATGAAAGCTCTATCAGGACTGCTAAACACCAACAGGTTTGTTTTCAAGTCCCGTCCTATAAACTCATCTTTGTTCTTGGACACTGTACATAATAAACATTTTAATAAAATAAGCCTTAAAATGGTTTTAAACATTTACACTTGGTAAAATTCACCGAATGGCAGTTTTTAAGTAAACTAATGGCTCCACTTGCACTCCTGTGTTTTTACTCATTTGGCTAAACTATTCTCTGGTCAAAGTCAGTTAAACAGTCAAGGATGTTTGAACCATAGAATACTTATGAAGTAAAAAAAAAAAGGTAAACTAAACACAAGTTAATGTAAGTTGAAGCATCAGAGCACTATAGCATTCCTATTCTTTGGCATTAATACAAACAAACAAACAAAAAACGTTTGTTTTCCTCTACATATCTGAGGTCGTCATCAGGACAACAGATCCAGAATAGAAATTCAGGCGTCCCAACACCAAGAAACATTCTTCTGCTTTTTAAACTGTTGCCTAAGCAATAGATGTGAAGCTGTTATAATCCTGGAATGACCACTTTAGATGGAAACAGAAACTGTAATTGTGCCAAAGCAAAATCAACATAGAAGTCACATTGTGCCTAAATGCTGTGATGTAACACGACACTCGATGCTAAAAGGAGAAATATGTTGCTTCAGGCTGTTTGTAATGTGAAATGTGTAAACAGTGAGACTCTGAAATCATTTCCCCACAGGAGCAAGGTTTCAGTTCTGATGTAAAAGTCAAAATGCTGAAACTGCCGATTTCAAAAGAGCCAGAGTCACCGTTAATGTGATGCACAGATTTAAAGCCACTGAGCTGCTTCCACTTCTGTAACAGCTCCAATTGTGCGAAGCTGCCAGCTAACCTCTCATAGTGTGTAATTTCACCACACACCCTCAGTTCAGTCATGTTAGCCATAAAGCTCCAGCCTGCAATTAATGAAACAAATTCTTTCAACGGTCTTCAACATGTTTCAGAAAAACCCAGAAAATCTTCTGCTTTTGTCAAAGACTTGCACCTTTGTTCAAGTCTTTCGGATGTTCAAATAAGCTTTTAGCCGACATCCACGATGACTGGAATGCTTCTCTGCATTCCTAAGACGGTAACCTCCCTGTTTGTTTCACCAATGGTCAGAATCAGTTCACACTGTTGTTATTGTTGCCCTCCTCGGCTGCAACAAACTTGATCTCAGCATTGGCGGTCCTCGAGGCCGTGCTGCTGTCTCTGACCTTGCGCCTGAACAGGAACGGGAAGGTTTTCCTGAAGGACTTCTGAAAGCTGGCTCCCATGAAGCCGTAAACGATGGGGTTGACTGAGGAGTTGGCGTACGACATGCAGTTGGCCCACGTCTTGATCTTGTACATCGCGTAGCTGGGTTGGTAGTTTGGATGGAAAGATTGGAAAAGGACGAAGATCTGGATGGGACCCCAGCAGATGGCAAAGAGGAGAACGATAACCACAACCATTTTGGAGACTTTGCTCCTGATACTGATTGTTCTCTCAGACAGAAGATTGACCTGAAGAAAAAACAAGACATTTAAATTGTTGCATTAGCTTTTGATGAATTACCAACCTCAGATAGTCAGATAATCAGACCTACCTGAAAAAAACAAAAATCACAAACTTAAAAATATAGCCTTGTATTTGTATACAGTTTTTTTATTGTAAACTTTTATTTTATGACAATTTTGTAAATAAGTTGTTTTTCGGGTCTACATTATACGGAACATAAACTAAGCAGCAATTACCACAATGTAGTGAAAATGTAAGTGACTTTTAAAACAAGCAAAGCCATTTCTTTCTTAATTGGTTTGTAAGCTTGTAAATTAATCGTGTGTACATATAATTGTTAAACTGTTAAATAAAGTAACTCAAAATGAAACATTTTAAAGGTAAACTTGGCTTGTGCACACCTATCGGTCATAGCACAAAATAAAATTGACACCTGATAGTTGTTGTCCACGGGCTGTACTGTGGGCTGGCCGACACGTTTCACCATCAGAGAGTAGCAGAAAGAGATGGTGAGCACAGGCAGCAGGTAGGCAGCAATGAACTGGTAGAGGATGAACGCTCTCTCATGTGTCTTAGAGGGAAATCTCTCCATGCAGTATTGTCTTGGCCCGTACCAGTAGCCCTCCTCTATGCGCTGGTACATTAAAATTGGGGTGGACAAAATGAAAGAACCTAAAAAGGACACGTGTGTTAGTTTAAAACGTGCATCTTTGACCCATTTTATGTATTACTGTTTTGGTTATTTAGAATCTGAGACCCCGTGTCCTCATACGAGGACATTGCATTGTTGCTTCTCTGCTTCATGATACTTTTTTTTTCAGCTTTGACCCTTTGGCCTTATTATAGACACTACCATCACAGTGGTCACATAAAAATTACATAAAACTAAAACTAAAACGCACATTAAGCTTCATAAAACGTGCACATTTGACGCATTTGTGTAATTGTAGCAAAGTTCAAATTTGGTAAAGATGAAGTCCTCATTTGAGGACACTGGGACTCTAATTTCATTATCAATTGTACCATAAGATTAGATAAACTTGGGAACATTTAGAGGAGTTCACAAATGTAAATAGTGTTTTTGTACGTGGTGTATGTAGTGACAAATTTTTGATAAACAAATCTGAAAATATTTAGAACAGTTCACAAGTGTAGATAAGTCTTGCAAATGGAACGTTTGTTCAGTATACCTAGAATGTTTGGGTCAAATGCTCTGTGATTTTCTGCCATTATGTTCTTCAAACTGAGGAGCAATCTGAAAGTTGTAATTGATGATGATGCAGTTTACTGATCTTGCTCTGGTCAACATTACGGCTGCTGTATTGCAAAAACAACTAGGAAAATGGTACCCCCAGAAAGACTATCATGAAGTCTATCAAGTTTTTACGGTACTGTAATTGCTTAGATATTCCTCAACAAGCATCACATTTTAAAACCCAGTGTCGTCATATGAGGACATAATATTTTGTAAAAATCACTTCCTGCACCATGACAGAGTCTAGTTATTATACTTAATAAATACTACTACACCCATGCATCTTGAAGAAAGACAAAAAAATGTACATCAAACAAAAGCTAGGGTCTCGGGAAATTAAGCAGTGAGAAGATCACACAACATACCGATCCAAATACAAACGCTGACAATCATGGCTACTTTGGGGGTGCGGTGGCGGAGAGATTTGAGAGGGTAGACTGTGACGTAACAGCGGTCCCCGCTCATTGCAGTCAGGGTGATGCACGTGGCTTGCACTGTCACCTGGCAAAAAAAAGAGAGAGAGACAAGAAGCTCTTTAAAAATAATAGTCCAATCAAAACTAGACTGAGAGCTGGAGAAAGCTGAAACATTGATGTCAACGTTTTCTTTAATCCGTCACAGTGCCCACACAGCTTAACAGGCATAATTTTATATGTCAAAACATTAAAAATTTACTGTCTTTCATACGATAAATGCCTCTCTGTGATCAGAGGGATCCTTTGTGCACCAAAACCCAGCTGCTGTGTGGACAGTTTGGAAGTTGTTCAATGAAAACTAGACGTGAGTCTGTTTTTAACTTGAACTTATGGTTGTGTTTTGTACACATTTGTGACACTGAGGTGTGTGAGAAAATGGGTTGCTTTATAAGCAGAATGTACCCTTGATTTTCAGTATCAAGCATAAGCATTTTGACCACTTGACTGAAATAAATAGAGCAACATTATTTCCCTGTCAAGGTCCAAATGTGATAAATGAAGCCTGTGGATCAAATGAATATGATAAATTACAGACTCTGTGCCGATGGTACTTTTTTTTTGAAAGTTGCACATTTATGTTGTAACCTTCTAATGATGTCATAAAACTTAAGGTATTTTCTCAAGATACCTCGTGTTATGGATTAATTATGTATATCTGTTCTACCTTGACACTGTCCAGTAATCATATCTCATGATAACTAGTTTCAGCTGTTTTAATCTATCGGCCCAGACTTCAAGACTCCAGCAATGCATGACCTCTTTTATTTTGATAAGGTGTTTCCGGGCTGACAGCCCTGTCATTGGTTAGATGGTTCACAGTTGGCCAACTGTGATTGGTTGTAAGCATGTCACATGATGTTATAAACTTGACAGATTTCTCTGATTGACTTCTGCTCTGTTGTTGCTCAAATTAAATCATTTGACGACCATACACGCAGACTTTCTGTGCATTTATTCCAACGTGTTTCTGCATTCTTGGTAAATCGTGCCACCACACCTCGTTTATAATAATTGGCGCTTTCTGGCTGACTCAGTGGGACTTATGACTGGACCAAGGTAATGGGGGTCGAAGCCAGCCTAGCCCCCGGTGCGCCTCTGTGCCCTCAATGCGAGGCAGTAAGAGAGCCGAAACAACCAACATGAAAATGTAAGCTGGCACCACGGCTCAATAATGTGATGAGGTGATGACATCTGGTCTGTGCAAATGTCATATTTAAATAAGAACTAAGATTTATTACTGGGGAAATATCAATGATTTGCCTCCATCTCACAGTTTACTCATATTTATACCCACATAATTTCTTTTCAGAAAGCAGAAGTTGAAGCTGCTGATTTTAATAGTTTTTCTTTTCTTTTCTTTTCTTTTTTGCTCATATTATCCTTATGTTTGCTTGACGTTTATTAAGGTTAATGAAGCTTTATTCTTTTAATGGGAATAACAACTTGTGTGATGAAGAAAAAGAGGAGAAGAACTTCAAGCAAGAGCACATTCAAAGAGCGCGGTGATAAATGTTTTTCATTTGCCTACAAACTAATCAGCCAGTTTCATTATTAATTAACTTTAAAAAAGGCTTCAGAAGGATGCTAATTAAAATCCAAATGTGTGTACAGGTGGAAACATCAGACCCAGATAAGGAACATTTTCTGTGCACAATTTCCAACATATTTCAAGCTACACCACATTTCTCAGAGCCATCGTATATTTTATGATTTTTTTATGATTTTCTAAATCTGGACTGTATGTTCCATCTATGTCCTGCTCACTTTTTACTTCTCTGTTTTTTGTTTTATCATGCAGCTATGAAGCAAACACCCATTACCCTGAGTTCTGGAGTACCACATCAGGATTTCAAAGAAGAGGATGAAAGACTAAAAGGGTTCACGATAAGGTCAGAACTGAGGCTGCTGAAGAAATTACCATGATCCTTGTGATTTTTTTTTTGAATTTTTGTTGAATTTACTAATTTTGTATATTATATTTATATTTGTATTTTCTGCATTTTATTTTAAAATAATTAACATCTTCAATTTGATTTTAGCTTTAACATTTTTGTCATAGTCCAAAAGTCTGTCTAGGTGTGTATAAGAAAAGATTTTTTTATGATGGCAAGAGCTTGCCTTGAACTGCTTAATTTTAAACTTCTCTGCTATTTTTAAAATCTTATTTCTAAGCAATTAGTTGGACTTGTAATTTTCTCTGGTCCGTTCTCTTAATAAGTTCATGTTAATTACAGCAAAGGTTTATAATCAGCATCTATGAATGATTGAAAGATAAATGCAATTAACAGTAAGCCTAAAGTGTTTAATCCTACCCGCTATTATTGCAGTATTACCTCATCTGCTGCAATTGCTCTGGTCTGTCACAGTGAAGAAGGAGCTGAGCCGAAAGGCAAAAATCTTTTATTAGCTGGTGCATCCACAATATATTTCCACCCTGACTTACAGTCAAGATGTATGGATCTTGATTTAAAGAAAATAAAAGATACTGAATGAAATGAGTTTCCACTTTAGGGTGACCAGGCTCAGATTTACAGATAAACTCAGGAGCTCCTCAACAAGGGAGCTCAGGAAAGTCGTCAGCTGAGGAGATTCAGGCGTTTGATTAGGACGCTTTCTGGGCGCCCCTTTTTGGAGGCTTTCCAGGTTTAGACCTACTCTTTGGAGGCAATATGACTCTCAGGCCAGAGTATGCAATGTGACTCCCCATGTGAGCTGAAGAATGTTGAAGGATGTCTGAGTTCCTCCCTAAACCTGCTGCCTCTGGTCCAACCATTAATAAATGGCATAACGTGAATGGACGGATGTATGGATAGATGGATAAACACGTGAGGTGGGTTGTGCTCAGAACTGTGTATGTACACATTCAATGTATTTATTAAATAAAGGCTGAGATTTTCTGGTTTGTCTTGTCTATGCCAATGGTTCCCAAAGTTAGGGTCAGTACCCCTCTGTGGGTCATGAAGCATCAAGTTTTTAAATGCAAATAAATTGCTAGTAGAATATTTTCACAGTAATCATTGCCAAAGTACTTGTAAAAAAATACAATAATTGTACATTAATAATTGTAATTATTAGGTTGTCCATTTTAACAAAGTCATTAGCAAAGTTTACGTACATAAACCAGTAATATCTGGAATCACAAGTCTTTGAAGGTGTTCTATTGTGGACAGAACCCTAAAAAGTTTAAAATCCATTAACCTATGCCGATTCATTGATTTTCTACATTAGATTGCCTTCCAACCATTAAGTTTCACCACATCCTTCAACAAGAAAGATGCTTCAGTAATTACAAGAACTTCCTTAATGTTCTTCATCAAACTGTCATTAGCCAAGCAACCTGAATGATTCTGATTCTCCTCCACCCATTCACCTTATTGATGATCAAAGCAGAGGCTTTTAAAACCCAGTTGGCTGGGAGGAAAACGGGGCCATTAGAGTATTCTTGGATGCTGTTTCTCTTTATTCTTCATCACCGTTTGAGTTGGAGGTTTTATCCGACACCTGCCTTTGCAGATTTAGTGCCCCCTGCAGGCCCGTCTCAAGGAGGGGGGACATCTTTGATTAGTCAGTTTCCATCCTCCATTTCTCTTTCTTTCCTGCTGTTTCTGTTCTGCTCTCTCTCCCCTGATGGTCTCACTTCTAGCAGGGAGTCAAAGAGCGGTTTGCAGACAGTTTAGGCTGATTGCTCTAAACACATGTGGCTCGTTACTTCCGTCCGCCTCCAGTTATTCATCCTGGCCATCACTTTTAGAGATGTTGTCAAAGCCACATTTATAGTGCCACCCTGTGTCAGGGGTAGAACATCTGTTCGCTTGCTGGGTGATTAATTGGCTTGAGCTGTGCGGAATAAATCTTTTAAACCTAGTTTCAGTGTCCTGCCACTCATTAGGGATGCAGAATGTGATATAAAGTTTGGATGTGGACCAAGGAAAACCAATTATTTTTTAAGAAATAACATTTTGATGTAGCAGTCACCTGCCACCAAAAGGCAAGGCGATAATATCTCATGAACCACAGAACAAATTGTATTGAAATGTACAAAAAAAAAAAAAATCAAACAGATGCCCTTAAAACTGCATGAATATATTAAATAAATAACTGTAATGTCATTCTTATTTATCTAATAATCTTATTAGACCTTTAGTCTCTTTTGTATTTCTATTTTTGGTGTGCACAGCAGTCGTAATGTATTTTTTGTGTATTAACAGCACACTTCAGAGCTTTTTTTTTTCCCTTTATTGAATAGTGGAAATAGTGGAATAGTGGAAATAGTGGAAATTTCCTGACAATACTCAAGCTATTAGCCTCTGTGTCCTTGAAAAATGCAAGCAACAGAAGAAAAAAAGCTCTCATGTCTCTTCATGATAACAACAAACTCTAATCTCACCTACCTTCATTACTTAGTGATGATTGGTCTCTGGACAATAAGAAAACCTCATTAAAGGATTTCCAGTTTTAGATAAGAAAGAGCAAATACGAAGTTCGTGTAAAAAGAGCAAAGCAGACTGTAGCCAGCATTTTTGACTGACTTCCTAATGTTTTATTCTTATATTATCAATTTGTTCTTGCCTTGTTAAAAAGTAAATGTTTCTTTGTGGGGCCAAATAAAATTGTCCCTTTTTTTTGCTGTTACACTGTAGTGCTCGGTGATAAGTACTTTTCACTCCATCTTCAAACATAAACATAATAACTTGAATTGACAGGATTTTCTTCTTCCTAAAATAAAAAAAATCTATTTTTAAAGTCCAACATTAGCCTCTATTGGCGGACGAGAATTTCTTTAACTATTACTACAGAAAAAGATGCAGTTTCATCATTTGAGTTACATTACCATCTCTTCAGTGATTCATGAGAAGTTTTATATGTAAAACAATCATGCACAAACACATGCTGATTCTGTTCCGTGAAGACTTACAGGAAGATTTCATCAGCAAAGTAAATGATTGGATTGGAAGCTGCAACTTTGGTATTCCTTCACACTGAGGGTGGTAATGGCAAATTACAAAGATGCTTCTGCTTTCTTTCTTCAGGCTCTAATGGCCTTTATTCATCCACCAGAATGATATGAACTAAGGTGAGGAGAAGGGAATGACACAGTGAAGGGCCCCCGGTTGGGATTCAAACCTGACTCTGCAGCAATGAGGACTTTTTCAGCTTCACAAAATGCTTTTTCTGCCATGACAGATTCCCACTGCCTGAAAGGCATCATCGAAGCACTTGGAGTGAACTCTTGTATCCAATCTCAGCCTCTTTCTAAGACTTCAATAACATCTTTCCCATATGCAGTTAGGCCTGCTCAAGCCTCTCTCTTAAAGATGACACTGCCATCTGTGGTCAATAAATCAACATTTTACAGGAGTCCCATTTAGAAACCACACCTCCCTGATAGTTTTTTTAGTGGCAGCAGCATTTAGGTGATACTTTGTGATTTGCCACAAGGAATGCATTTACTGGAGCCAGAGTTTGAGCTCCATGGGGCTCCAGGAGAATTGCGGTCATTATACCCTCATCCAAAGGAAAAAAAAAGTAGACAGGTATGTTAAATGAAAACGACCTGCCTGCAATAAGGCGTTCAGTGCAGGAGAGCACCTGTACCTTTTACTTTCGGCACCTGAAAAGAAAGTAGTCAAAACTTTTTTTTTTCAAAAGTGCATTTCAAAACTCAGACTAAAAAAAGCTGTGAAAAATTAAAACGTGTCCCTTTACCTGTTGCATAAAGGCAACGAATTTGCACATGAATTTGCCGAAGATCCATCCAGGGAGGGGATAAAGTGTAGCGGTGAAGGGAACGCAGCACACCAAGAAAATAATGTCAGTGGCTGCCAGGTTTGCTGAACGGAAAGAGAAAAAAAATAAAATCAAAAACACGATGAAGGGCTTGCAGTACAATGTTGCAACACAACCTTACATCACAACTAGAACTGAGTCATTGCATTTGTGTCCACTGGTGTGACTTTCAGGGTGGGTTTTATATCATAAGGGGCATAAAAATAAGCACACAAGAAAAAAGCTAAACATAGCCTTGAAGTAACACCCTGTTAACAGGAACAGGGAAGTAGTATCGGCAACAAGATGAATCGTAACCACTGCAATAACTCTGCAGATAAGGAACTATTCCTGACAAAACACAAGCAGTGTTTGTTTCTGCCTTTCTTGTTTTATTTTGAAAACAAAAGTGTAAACCATGGTCACAGGTGAGCTACTGAATAGAGGTGAAATTATGTGACTTTTCATGGTTGTAGACAGAGCGGCCATATTGTTCAGAGCGAGCCAGTACTGTTAGCTGGTGAAGCTAAATGTGGTAACCGTGACTTGTTAAATTTAGGTTAGCACATCACTGAAACTCAGTTTGCTGATGACAAATATTATTTTGATTATCATGTCTGGAAAAAAAATGTGCTGCCAAAACAGAAACGTCTGCAATGAATGATGCTTCTGAAAAGCAGAAGCTAACCAATGAAAAACTAATATTTATTTGCTATTCTACACAGAAATCTAGCCATGATCAATTGTTTACATTGACAGCCCGCCCCTTCCAATATGGAGTCGTGCTCATACCAAGGCGGTCAATTCGTGACGCTTTGGCTTCAACAAACATTCGAGCAAAACATCTCGGCTTGCAGAGTTAGCAGCAGCATACATGTGCAAACCCAAAGCCTTGCCATCAAATTCTTTTTCAGTCACAAAACCTGTAATAAGTGAACTTTTCGTTGTTGTTGTTCTTTTTAACCCTCCTGTTGTCCTCATTTTCTGTATACACCCTTTGTCCTCCGGGTCAAAATGACCCGTCTCYACTAAATYCCCAATATAAGCAGCTTAATTGAATTTTAAACACCAAATTTCATCTTGTATATTGTCATTCACCACAAAATGTGTGAATACTTGAGTTTTCCCTCTCCACTTG